TTATTTCTGTGTGTGTGTGGCCAGCTCAGCCCACCCGGGGCTGGCTGGCATGTGGTGCTGGGGGATTGAACCGTGGTCCCTCTGCTTTGCTGAGCTTGTTCTAAGTAGGTGCTTTAGACCACTGAGCCATCTCACCAGCCCAAGAAAGGTCTTATCTTTAGATATATATCTCTACTCTGGTGTGTGCTGTCACATACTTTTAATTAATAAATATCAATAAATCAATATAATACAATGAACTATAGTCACAGGAAGCACCATGCTACACCTAAGTCAACATTATTTTTAGTACTGCTGTCTGTTTGGTTTTCAATGGCTGTTCCCAAAGGTGCAGCAGTACAGAGGCACCCTCAGTTGAACAGGAATCTGGGAGGAGGCAAGCACAATGGGCCCAGGGCCGCTGTGGTCAAGGTGGCTGATCCCTGTCTGCCTTTTGCCAAGAGATTGATTCCAGGAAGAGATAGGGAAGAAGGCAAGATGTCCCTAGCCTTGGACCAGAGTCACAGTATAGGGACCCAGGCTTCAGAAACCAGTTCCTTTATTCCTTTCAGCATATTAATGGCTTTAATTTTTCCCTTTCCCTCTGCCTACAACCTATTTGATGGTGCTCCCCTCTGGAAGCAGGGAGCCTCCTCTGGAATGCATGAACCGTAGAGCCCATTTGTCACTGTGGGTGGGGGCCTCTGCCTCTCGCAAAAAGAGCAGTTTATCTCCCAAGCACAGTAACTCCAGCCAGCAGGGCACCAATGTGGGCTGCACAGCTTGGGCCGCATCAGCTGTGAGGCCTGCAGGATTGTCAGGGTTTCCCTGTAGGGTTGCAGTTTCCAAATCATAAGGGAAAAAAAATCAAAGATAGAGCCAGGTTGAAATACTGAGAGTCAGAGAATCACCATTTGGAAACGCCTAAGAATGCCAGGTGTGGCCTTGACTGAACTCCACACATCCCAGCCTAAGGAAAGGGGAGTGAGGGAGGGTGGGACGCATCACGCTGGATCTGGGCTGGGCACACACTTGGCACTCGGGCTGTCTTTCACTTTTGGTTGGCTAGGGTCACTGTGTACACCAGGACACCTAATATCAAGTCTTCGAATCATGGTCCATGCCAGTCTTAACGTTGAAGTGTAAAATGCCAGGTAAAACTCTGGGGACTATGAACATCCCAGTGATACAGTTCATTTGGTTGTTTAGCTATTTCATTCTCTCCACTTAGTGTGGTGTTCTTCGGATGAATATAAGGGTTTGGTGGTTTGTTTTTTATGTCATAAGTGGAAGTTTCATAAAATCAGATAAATTTTGGGAAGCCCAAAGTTTATCCATGACGGTGAGCCTTTTAGAACTCTTAATGATAAAAAGCTGCCTGCTGCAGCACAGGTTCGCCACCACTGGATCTGAGCTGGTGCAGTTTTCTGATGTGTAGCCAAGAGGCTACATAGGAATTCACTCAAAATGCTCATCGTTGTTACCAGCATTTGCTTAAAAAATCTCAAGGCCACATAAACGTTTGAATTTGCCAGATACTTGTAGTCCTGTATGGTGCAAAGTGCTGTTCAAGACCCAGCACAAGATGCAGAGTAAAGCCTGCCTGTGTAGTCTTGCAGGGTGTGTGGCGGAGCCATCCATAGCCAGGATGAAGCAGCAGTTATACAGGGACTGCAGGGTTCTGTGGGGACTCATGTGAGGAATTGGGAGAAAGCTGTGTGGAGGAGGTCGCATTTGAAAAGCACCTTTGGAGGCTGGATGGAATTTTAAGAGAAGTGTTTCTGACTTTCGTTTTCTGGTGCCCAAAATTGAACCCATGACCTCAAGCTCGCTGAGCAGGCACAGTGCTGCTGAACCATCTCCCCAGCTCGTAAGACTGGATTTTTGAGGCACCGTTCCAGACAAAGAAAACAGGACAGCCAAAGCCAGGCTATGTGTGGGTCCCAAGCCTTTTCACAGCAACGGAAAGTTGCCGATGTCTGCTGGGCAGAAACCCATTTGATGTTGACATAGTAGAATTCCAAGCCTATGATGGTGGAGTTCAAATAGGCAACATATTCCCCACCAATTAGGGTGTCTCTTAAGAAATTTCTCTCTTTCAATCCCTGGTTCCACCAAAAAAAAAAAAAAAAAAAAAAGAAAAAAAGAAATTTCTCTCTTGGGCCGGAGAGATGGCTCAGTAGGATAAGCGCTTGACTGGCAAACAAGGATCTGAGGTCAATCCCTGGTTCCAGGAAAAAAAAAAAAATTCTCTCTGGTAGAAGGAGGTCTGGTGTTTGTGTCTGAAGAGTTTGACTTCATGTAGAAGCACTTAGCACATCCACCCAACACTCACAGGGAGGGAGGGACTTTTCTCTTGAGTGAGTTGTCTTGGATTTCTCTTTCTACTCAAGCATAGGGTAGCTCCTGGGTCTGGGGAAGGTGCGGCCTTTCTTCAGCTAGCAGAGCCTGTTGCATAAGCATGTGGGCAGCCCTGAACATTTAGCATGGTGACTGTCAGAGAGGTAGGAGCAGCACCATGCACCTCCTTCTGCTCCTGTCATAATGTCTGCAATCTTGAAAAACCCATTTTTAAAACCACATCCAGGCCAACCAGACAGCTCAGAGGATTACAGCGCGTGCTTAGGCAGGTGCAGGGACCAGGGTTCAATCCCCAGTGTGCCATGCCAGCCCCACCCCTGGGACACACTGAGATGGTGACTCAGACTGGGCATGGTAGTGTGCCCCTATAATCCAGCTCTTGAGAAACAAAACAGGCGGATCACTGGGAGTTCAATCAGTGTAGCGAGACCCTGTAGACCCTGTATTAAATACGTTAAAAAATCCACATAAGTCACAGAAAGGACCTGCGATAGAGCCGCTCAGCTCTGTGACCTGGCACCAGCAAATGTCGAAGGAAGTTTGCAGTCAGTAGAGACTGAGGGAGTAGCAGATAGAATGATTAGCAGGCTCCTGACAGCCACAGGGACATCTTGGCTTTTTCCATGGGGAATAAGCAGCTCTTGCAGGCAAAAAAGGATTGTAGCAAGGGGAAAATAATGCAAAGATGGTCAATTTCCCTGTAAGATCAATAAGCAGATTGAGAGGACCAAGAAAATCAAAGTTAGACCCTTCAATTCAGAAACAAAGAGACAACCTAAGACATGAACATTGAAATATGGGGCTGCTAGTCTGATATTGCTTTCAAATTATATGTTTAAACACTCATAAATAGATAAAACGAGAAACATAACTGCCTAGACCATGTGCTTCTCTGATCCACAAGAATTCCTTCTGAGGAACTGGGCTTCCTTTAGGGTCTTTGATAACTTGGAGAAAGGCAGGGGTCTGACTTAGCAGGAATGGGCTCTGCCCAGGCCCATACTGTGTCACCCGCAACAGCAGTCCATTCCCTTCCACTTCAGCGTCTCCCTCTGCAGAATTAAAGGAACACATTGGATCGCAGGCCTTCTGTTAG